GTTCATCATGATACATACAATGTATTAGGAATGAACCATTAGATGACACAAAAAATATGCAAACTATTATCTTCGGTTAGTTTTGGATTATTTTTCGTTTTTTATTTTCAATGATGAATTCGCTGTATTTTGTTTTTATTTTCTCTGTGTGTATTTTTATATAAGATATAGGCCTGTATAATTTGTTTTTGTTATTGATTCCTGTAGATTTTTTCTGCTCCCATGGTTTCCAATGGTTCACCTTTACCCTAGATTTCAAGTGATTTGATTTTAATATGCTAATGTAGATTCAAAACCATGCAATTTTTGGACAAAAAACTTAAAACTATTATTGCAAAATTATGTTTTGGGAGATTTATTGTTGCACACAATGTGTCGGTGATGTAATCGTGTTTCTTAGAGTTTTCAAACAACACAAATATGTGATTATGAAATATGAAATAAAATACACAATCATCCAAACCCCGCATACGTATCGAGTGACCTAGTAAACTCTGTACTAAAACCCTGTAAACATGGGACAAAATACAATGTTCCAGGATAAAACAAAAGGAACAAATCTCCTAATCTGTAAAATATTAGCTAATTAAATTGGGCATGAAAACAAGGTGTGACATAATTATAACTTCTTGTTATGATTTCTGTGAATATTTTAATATTATTTTTTTGTAGGATATGGAGACATCTGCATGGGAGAGTATGCTAGAGAAACCACCTGAACAGTTAACACAGGTACTAACTGCATTTATGCCACTCTTGGTCATGTGACACAATGTCCTGATTGAGTGTCACTCTATACTTTGTCTCTTTGTTAATTTTCTGTGATAAGCACTTCTGAACTTTAGTGATTGACCAATTGTCAAGGTTTGGAATTTTAGAAGTAAATAAGAGTTCTTCTGCAACAATTGGAAAGTTGGCCAAGCAAGGTTTGAACCATGACTTTTGGTATTGGTTGGAATGGTGATACAAATAATGAAAATGTTTGAAATTACATGTACTTTGATTCCCATGCATGTTACCTTCAATTTACTCTAGGAGAGTTCACTCATCTTCTTCAGAATACATTGTGGTTATTTACATATTCTGAATTCATTGTATTGAATACAGTATTTTGAAATCAGTTTTCAAATATATCAATTATTGCTTTGTTATTCTTTCTGCAGTCTGAGCGTGAGCAGTGGTTATCAAAACTGAAAGGTGTAGCACTAAGTTCTGATGCATTCTTTCCATTCCGTGATAATATTGACAGAGCGTATCAGGCGAGTATTTGATATGTCTACCAATACTGTGCCAGAAATGTGTTTTTTTTCGAGGGTTAGACCAATTCATATCAGCTTAGACAGGTTGCTAGTGTATACAGGGTTATACTGGTTTAGACAGTTTGAAAGTTTATACAGGGTTAGATCAGTTGCTAGTGTATACAGGGTTAGACCGGTTTAGACAGATTGAAAGTTTATACAGGGTTAAACCGAGACAGGTTATTACTTTATACAGGGCTAGACTGGTTTAGACACTAGACAGGTTGCTAGTTCATACAAGGTTAGACTTGTTTAAACAGGTTGCTAGTTTATTCAGTTTTAGACTGGTTCAGACAGGTTACCAGTTAATACAGGGTTAGACCGGTTTTGACTGGATGCTAGTTTATACAGGGCTATACCGGTTTAGTCATTGCCAGTTTATACATGGTTAGACTGGTTTAGACATTGTCATTTTATTATACAGGGTGAGACTGGTTTAGACTAGTTGCTGGTTTAGACAAGATTATACCAATTTCTAGTTTATACAGGGTTATATTGGTTCAGACAAATTGCTAGTTTACACAGGACGAGACTAGTTTAGGCAAATTTCAAACAGAATTAGACTGGTCTAGAACTGGTTTAACTGAGTGGAATTTTTTTTATATTTTCAGAGTGGTGTTCAATACATTGCTTCACCATCGGGATCAACTCAAGACCAGGTTATAACTGAAGCCTGTGACGACCATTCCATTGCATTAGTATTCACTAATACCAGACTATTCCATCACTAGATATTACATCATGTGATGTCATACAACACTGGATTGAGATAAATGCATGCAACTGAATGAAATAGACCCTGTGAATCCAACAACTACTGTAGAATACTTTATTTTCACTGGGAATTATTTTTGCTGAAAGAATGGTTCAGTGAAAATAAAATTCAGCAAATATACTGTTGTTCCTGTATTTTACATTCAACTCATCAAAAATCAGTGAAAGTAAATTCCACACAAAACACCCAACAAGCTTATTCAGCGAAAATTAGTTCCTGCTAAAATAAAGTATTTTACGGTAAGATACAACAAAACCATGATACACAGATCTACAAGTGACAACTG